TTTGTGCTCCTTTGCTGACCTCTCGGTCATCTCTTGTTGTTAATTTGGCTGAGGTAGTGGAGGAAGTAGATTTGGTCGAGCTGCATTTTAGTTCCTGGACTACGGATTACAGCGTGGGAAAGCAGAAGACGGACCCCACTGTTAGTGAAATCAAAGTTTTACATACAAAATCGACTCCCTCCACTACCCTCACTAACAGCCACCCAAATCCAAGTGCAAAATGACATTGTTGATATTTTTGAAGATGATCCAATCCAACTTGGAAATATACCAGGTAAGTGGTTGCAGGGTAAATCGCTGACCAAGGTGGCATGACAATGGAGCATGGTTTCTTCAACCGCGGTCCCCAAACCGCACGAAACCAAAGCATGCTGAGATTGACATCTCCGCATGACGTCCCAGTTGCGGGAGAAAATTAAAAATAACTCAAGACAAACTTAAAATTGATCGTGAACCATCGATCGGTTTTTTGAAACTGCCAGCGGTTTTGCCAAATGTCAAAACAAGCATTGACCATCTGACCATCCAGTCAGCAGTTTGCCAAGTGCCAAGAAGGACGACAGCCCCGGAATCCCACCTGCATTTCCCGCCAAAGGTGGAGTACCGACGAGTTGTTTCCCCCCAATTGGTCGCTGTGGAAACGAGGAAATGGAGTCACCAAAACAGGCCCAATGCGCCAATCCCAGTCGAGAAATCCAAGACGAAGTCCATGCTTTCGCTTGAACAAGCAAGGGTCTCTCTTCCTTGTGAACTCAACTCTCTCTCTCTCTGGAACGTCATTCTTTTTCTTCTTCCATTTCATTTCCAACCCAGAGTGAGAGAGAGAGAGAGAGAGGCCGCGGCTGCCAATCTTGGATGTGTTTTGTCGACAACAACAACAACCCATTTTTTTTTTAAAAAAAAAATTATTTTGTTTTCTATTTTCCCTTATTGACTATCGACACAAAACCTCAACTTCTCGACGACGGCATTTCTGCGGTGAAGAAGGAAGTGCTCGTCTCCGCTGTCGGCACCTAACTGCTGCCCACCATGGCTGCTGTTGATCCGAATGCTTCTTCCATCACTGTAGCCGTTCGAGTGCGGCCGTTTACCATTCGCGAAGCTGCACAACTGTGAGCATGCCCAGCTGCAAACTCCCGCCGACTACCTTGCTTGGGAAACTGACCGCCCGCAGAGTCCGAAATGACGATAGTACAGTATTCCTCGGCGATGGGTCGCTCGCCGCGGCGCCCACGCCTAAGCTGCACCAGCGCGGCCTCAGATCCGTCATCAAAGTAGTCGACGACAGATGTTTGGTTTTTGACCCTCCAGAGGACAACCCGGTCCAAAAGTTCTCCCGATCGGTCGTCCCAAAAATGGGCAAAAAGGTCAAGGATCAAGTCTTTGCCTTTGACAGAATATTCGACGAGAACGCTGCACAAGCCGATGTATACGAAGGGACCACGAGAGGCCTGTTGGATAGCGTTCTAGACGGATACAATGCCACCGTGTTCGCCTACGGCGCCACTGGTTGCGGCAAAACACATACAATTACAGGCACACCGCAGTCGCCCGGTATCATCTTCATGACTATGCAGGAACTGTTCGAGAAGATTGCCGAACGGAGCGACGAGAAAGTGACCGAAGTTACCCTTTCGTACCTCGAAATCTACAACGAAACGATTCGCGATTTGTTGGTGCCCGGCGGGAGCAAGCAGGGGCTTATGCTGCGCGAGGATTCAAACCAGGCCGTGTCGGTACCTGGCCTGACCAGCCACAAGCCGAGCAATGTGCAGGAGGTCATGGATATGATTGTTCAGGGTAACGAGTACCGAACTGTATCGCCAACGGCAGCCAACGCGGTTTCGTCTCGCTCCCATGCCGTTTTACAGATCAACGTTGCGCAGAAGGACCGCAACGCCGATATCAACGAACCCCATACCATGGCAACCCTCAGCATTATCGATTTGGCCGGCAGCGAGCGCGCCAGTGCGACCAAGAACCGAGGAGAAAGATTAATTGAAGGTGCAAACATCAACAAGTCTTTGCTCGCTCTCGGGAGCTGCATCAATGCGCTTTGCGACCCACGGAAAAAGAACCACGTTCCTTACCGAAACAGCAAACTTACCCGTCTCCTCAAGTTCTCGCTTGGTGGCAACTGCAAGACGGTCATGATTGTCTGCGTTAGTCCTTCGAGTGAGCATTTTGATGAGACTCAAAATACCCTCCGATATGCCAACCGGGCCAAGAACATCCAGACCAAGGTCACCCGCAACGTCTTTAATGTCAATCGCCACGTCAAGGACTTCTTGGTCAAGATTGACGAGCAAATAGCATTGATCAATGAGCTCAAGGCGCAGCAGAAGGATGCTGAAAAGATTTTTTTTGCAAAGTTCCAAAAGCAGATGGACAAGCGGGATGGTTCAGTTAAGGAGGGCATTGCTCGTCTTCGGGTCGCCTACGAGAATGCCGCCCAGGAGCGACAGAACAAAATTAACCTGATGAAGAAGCTCAAGGCTTTTGAAAGGAGGATTGGGCTCTTGTCTGCTTGGATCGCGGCATTTGATGCTGTGTGCGACAGTCGAGGCGACGAGGAGACAATTCCTTCCAACCTGACGGCTATGCGCAAGACAGCCCACGGGATTTTGATCGAGCTGGAGAGCAGCAGACATCATATCCGACAAAAGATGGAGAGAACAAACTGGGAGCGGGCCCTAGATTCTGCTTTGAATCACAGCATTTCGGCGCTGCCCAAGGCTGAAGGAATCACTGACACCTCCGAGAGGGATAGACTAACCAGAGAAGCCGAATCTCTCAAAGCTACCTTTATGCGGGATGCTTACTGGGAGGTATTGGAGCAGGATAAGGCCGGTGATGCGGCAACGATGCAAGTCCTATTGACCGCCCAGTTTGAGATTCTGTCTTCTCTGTCTGAGACCCTCGACATGAGCGAGGACGAGGCTGTTACTCACGCCAAGGGGATTATTAGCCGACTGTTGGAAACTGGGTACTCGGCGGCTTCCCACGTCGTCAAACCGGATGGATCCATGATGCCGGTAGAGCTTTTCCCACCGACCAAGCGCGGAACGCCCAAGCGAAAGAAGTCGATCAGCATGCACAACACGAAAGCGATTCCGGTTCCCGGCCTTGCCTCGGCAGTATTGTCAGCGACGACCCAACAGCAGCAGGTACTTGTCTCTCCGATAAAGGCATCTCCGCGACGTCGTAAGGTCGGCAGCTCCGGAAGGAAGGGTGTGTCATTTACGCCCGTCAAAAAGAAGCACTCTGTCCGCTGGCGCGATGACGAGACGGAGGATGGAACCCTGGCTGACTTCGAAAAGACTCCCCAGAAGTTGTTTTCCCCCCTTCCAGAATCCCATTCCCCTTCGAGAGAAGAGTTGTCTCCCGGTAAACCACATGTTCCCACATATTTGAACCGCACGGAATCGCCCAAGCCGACATCATCAAGGAGCGACTCGCCAACCTCGACTCTTCCGGACGTTTCGTCACTGCACATCACCAAGCCCGCCAATAACCGATTTCAAGCCGGATTCCTTTCCAAGGGCGCCAGGCCATCACTCATTCCAAACGGATCCCCTACCCCTCCCACTTTTTCTCTCAACCTTACCTCTTCAGATACCGAGTCTTTGTCCCCTGATCCAAATCGCCCTTCCCCTCTTCGCAGCGTCCCTGTAAGTAGAGCAGGGAACAACACCCTCTCCCCTCCTACCATCCGAACCTCTTTGAGTCCAAAGAACTCTTCAAGTTTGGACGAAAATGATCCCCCTTCCAACAATTTGCCTCCTCAAAAACCGCAGCGCCTCTCTCCTTCGCGTCTGCCTAGAGCATCTCTTGGTTCCAATTCTGGTGGCGGATCTGACTCAGAGAACTCGACAATAATGGATCCTATGAAGATTCGTTCGGCTCTGCAGGCTGCCAAGAAAAAGGAGCGATTGTCGTTGCACAGCGCTGGAACGGCTGCGAGCAATGCCAAAAGGGTGAGCTCGGGAGCCGGGGCTATTGTCTCTCATCATCACACGAGTAGGAGGGTGAGTGTAGGCGCGCCGTTGGCTAGTTCGACGAATGGGATTTCGAGACACAGGAGGGGAAGCACGATTGCCGAACGGAGGAGGAGCCCGCCGATCAGTTGTTCGCCTGCCAGTTCGAGAGGAGATGATGGGGATAGAAGTATCATGTCGGTAGTCTCTGCGGCTGGCGGGTTTGGAGGAAGTAAGAGTTTGACGAGCGGACAGGCGAGGCGGATCGGCGCTGCATTTAGAAATATTGGGGACGCTCATGGGCACAGTCCAGGAAGCGGTAGAGCCGGATTAACGCCTGGACCTTTCCCAGGGATTTCGGGGGTTGATGGTAAGAATAGGAGAATTACCATTGGTTCTCTTGGTGGATCCGGGAGTGGTGGTGCTGCTGGTGGTAGTTTGAAGGCAAGGTCAGGACAAGTTGTATGGAGGTGAGATATATAAGGGATCATGATGATGGTGTCTTTTTTTCCTTTAAATGAGTGTGTTTGGGTTGGATGATTGGCGTATTGTGGAGTTTTGAAAGTGTTGATGGTGATGATAAATTTCGGTTGGGCATTGGTCGGATTCTTTTTTTTTTTGAGCTTCCTTTCGGTTGCTCATGAATATTATCTGGGGTTGGAGAACTTTTAGTTACACATGGAAAGTTGTCTTTTTTTCCTTACAAACATCATAAATGGGGAATTGGGGTTGTGTGGATTCGACATTACTTGCTTTGGTAAAGTGAGTAGGGGAAGGTGCTTGGGTTTGACTTTTTTTGTCGACATTGTATAATTTTGAGGGAGGAATTGGACGAATTCTTTTTCCTTCTCTTGTATTTTATAAACTTGAATGCAAATGGGAATATGAACTTGAGACTTGTGTGTGTGTGTAATCCGCGATAGTGAATGAAAAGGGGGGCTATGTCGATGAATTAGTCAAGCAAGCAATTCTGTTGTTCATAAACCCATTTTGCTGGCACTGTTAGCATCCAATCTTCTAATAGGGCTCGTGGTCTAGTGGTATGATTCACGCTTAGGGTTCTACTCAGATGTGTGAGGTCCCGGGTTCAATCCCCGGCGAGCCCCGATGAAAGTTTCTTTTTTGGGCTATAATTTGTTTTTGCCTGAATGTGAAAAGGCGGCGTTATTGTCCCTGGAATATTCGCGCTGAGTGGTTTGTGGTGGTTATCAAATTTTATAGATGAGGGAGGATTGTTGTCAGACAGATTGAAGCATCAATGTTTGGTTGTATTGTCACGGAAGTAAGGCCCCACAGGGGGATACTCCAACAATGCTTGAACAATTGTTAGTTTGGTACTGGCGGTAGAGAATGCGAGATTAGCCCTTGAAAGCTTTTTTTCCCCTGGTATTTTATGTGATTGTTGAGCTGAGATAAATGAATTTTGAGTTGAAGTTCCGAGCTACTCCGTAGCACACTTTCAAAGCATTTGAGTGTGATGGCCGATCAGGGGTTGGAATGTAACCCGGACCGGATAAACCGCTGTCCCGTAACGGAATCTTCCGATTCCAACAAAGATGACAAGCTCGGCTTCTGTGGCCCGTGCTTTTGGGTCATACAGTGATATCAACGCTCAAAAAGGAGTCAGGAAAGGAAGCTATTTTGTGGCTGAGCATCCTCTCGCTCCTCTCTGTGGGTTATTGATCCATTTTTTAAAGACAAAATATCAGTGGAAATTGGGTTTTCAGAACGTATTCCGTACACGTGCCTAAAAAACGCCTTGGCGAGACAACAATGTACGCTAAATCATGATGAGGCAGATTGAAAGATGCAAGCAAATGTCTCCTGATTGTCTATATATACCTAGTGCGGCCGGGTTGCATCCTTCTTAAAAGATAACTATTCGCCCCCGCATTTGGATCAGGCATCATCCCCAAACTTGCATTTTTGTTTTGAATACTTGACAACTACCTGACCCATTCTTTTGGTAACTTTTTTGCGACAATGATAAATTCCCCTTTTCACCCAAGAAGTTTACCAGACGAAACAAGTAATTCCTACCCCGACGAACCACCACCGCCTTATACACCACCCGCAGCATCACCACCACCACCACCACAACAACAACAACAACAACAACCTCTTATTCCTCCCCCGTTTTACTCACCACCAACCTCCAATACGCCACAACCCAGTCTTTACTCACCACCACCCCGAAATACCCAACCTCTAATCCCTCCCCCTTTTTACTCACCTCCATCAGCACAAGTACGAAGTCAATTACCACTACGTCTAGCCCCCTACCAAGAATCCCTCCAACTCCAAAAACTCCTCTCGCGCTATCGTTGGAAAACATATTACGGCCCAAAACCCCGCACGTTAACCCACGCTCTCCGCAAAGCTTCCCTCTGGGGAGACCGACCCTTTGTTTTATCTATTCTCGCCACCTATGCCGCCGAAATATGGGGTTCATATCATAACACATGCGTTCACGAAGCCCTTCGAGGACCAAAACCTGAAATAGCCTTTGATATACTAAATTGGTTTGAGAGGAAATCGGGGGATATAAAATGGGTTTTGAACAGTCAGGATAAGGAAACGGGGGTTACGCCGTTGCATGTTGCTGCTGAATGCGGAGTGGAAGTTTGGATTGTGAGGAAATTGGTTGAGATGGGTGCTGAGTTGGACAAACAGGATTTGATTGGGAGGACGGCGTTGTTGATGGGGTGTAGGTATAGGAGGACTAAGGTTGTGAAGGGGTTGGTGGAGATTGGAGCTGAGTGGATGGGGATTATGAGGGGGGATTTATGGGAGAGGTGGTGGGAAGGAAGTAAAGAGAGGGAGATGTTGGGTGGGTTGGAAGGGGTTAGAGGGGTGTTGAAGGGGGTTTTGAGGGAGATGGGGTTGGATGGATGGGAAGAGGAAGAGGAAAGGGAAAGCCCGCGAGGGGAGGATGAGGAGGAGTTGTTGGTTGGATGGGGTGGGGTTGAACAACGGAGGGGATTAGGGGGAACTAGTGAGCATACGGAGATACCAAGGGAAGAAGAGATTGTGAATGTTGAGGGGGATTTATTGGCTGGGTGGGGAGGAGGGGTCGAACGGCATGAATCTGGGGGAGGAAGTGGGAGCAGAAGTAGTAGTGGTCAGGAAATGACGTTTGCTCATGATGCTTTGTTGAGGAGTATTACGGAGATTATGGACGGGTCGAGGAGTCAGCATGAAAGAGGGGTTAATTGGCAGTTTATTCAGGCTGCGATTCTGGCGTCTAATTTGGGGGAGCAGGATCCACTCGTGCGAAGAATTGTGCACATTCAAGGCAGGTTGGAGAATGGGAATTCGGGGATACATCCAGGCCTTTTGGGTACTGCAGAGTATGAAGCATGGAAAGCTGATTGTGAGGCATTGCTTGGTGAGCATAGGCGACAAAGAGAAAGAAATCGGCTGGCTGAGGTAAGGGGTCTAGAAAGGTTTGGACAGAGAAGAGGGTAATTATGTTCATGGGTTAATGAGATACGACGAATACCCTTGTTTTATTGCAATTTGTGTTGTTATCAAGTGCGGAAAATAAAACCTTGTACGCAGCATCAAACATTGATGACCAAAAGAAATATTATACACAACAATAAGACGTATAATATTTTGCTTGAATAACAAAATGGGATAGGTATCTGTATTTGCAAATGATACTCTCTTAGGTAATCGATGATTGAGGCCGCATACAGATTTTATTTTTCACACTTGATCACAGTCGAGGCAAAAAGATCACAAAACTCAAGGTACTTCCCTCCCCCTTAAAGCTTCTCGATCGTATGTTCCTGAGCCTTCTCCTTCTCTGAAGAACCAGCATATGAAGGATCGGCTACCCCATTCTGTCCGCGCAAAATTTGGGTGAGACCAATCTCGGCGTTGATCTCTGCCATTCTCTCGAAATCGGCCTGGGCAGTGCCTTCAGATCCAAAAATTACATCCTGCAAAAAATTATCAGTTAGCTGCATATAACCGCAAAATAAAGGGACGTGAAAAAGAATGACTGACCATCTCCTCCAAAGTCAACCTCTTCGTCTCCGGCACAAAGAACCAAATAAACACAGCGCCAATATACGTCAAAATTCCAAAAAGAATATAAGTCCCGTACGTGATGCTCTCTAGCATATCAGGCGTAACCTGTCCGACAATAAAGTTGTTCATCCAGTTACTCGACGCGCCGAGGGCGACACCATAAGGACGAGTACTCAACGGCCAGATTTCGGCAACGATAATCCAGGCACAGGGGCCCCACGAGTACCCAAAGTGAATGACAAACAGCCAGACCATGCAAACTGCTGCCCAGCCGGCCGCAGGGTGCTCTTTCCAATTGTCAATGTTCTTGGCCACAATGACTGCGATGATGATGTGGCAGGTCGCCATGCCGATTGCTCCGATCGTCAATACGGGTTTGCGGCCTACTTTGTCGATCCAGAGGACGGCAGGAATCGTGGCGATGAACATGACGATGCCAACCACGCCGGTTGCCAGAAGGGAGATTTCGGTTTCGTCAAGGCCGAGCTGTCCGAAGATTTGAGGGGCGTAGTAGAGGATTGCATTGATGCCGGACCACTGTTGGAAAAACATGGTAACCGACGCAACGATGACTCGTCTAAACATGGCCTTTGTCTGAAACAGCTTCTTGATGGACACAAACTGAAGCTTGAAGATATTCCAAGCCGTCTGTTCTTGCAGCTCAGGGAACAACTCGGCAACACTTCGTTTCTCAAAGAGAGATTGCGCCTTGATCTCGAGGAACTCGAGCTCCACGAGCTCGTGGTCAATCGGGAGACCACGAAGAGACGCCAGACCTTTCCGAGCTTCCTCCTCTCTTCCGTGGTGGATCAACCAACGCGGGGAGAAAGGCATGAAGATCATGCCGACAAACAACACGACAGCAGGGGCAAGTTGCAGACAGGTGGGAATTAACCATGCTGCATCTTTTTGTGTTTCCGCTGATGTGCCTCCGATAAAGTTGGTGCCGCTGGACATTTCAATCCGTTGTCAACATCTCTTGAAATACCGAGAGGAGAGGAAGGAGAGGTACTCACTAATCAATCCAAAAGCTAATCATAATACCAAAGCAAATAGCCAACTGCTGAGTAGCCACCAAAGCACCTCTAACCTCTGGAGGCGCCACTTCAGAGTTATAAATCGGGATAATCATGGCCAAGCTTCCCACTCCCATACCCCTATATCATCATAATCTCAGTCAACACCTATCCACTCATGCTGATTTTGTGTGACACAGTAAAGAAAAATAACTTACGTAACGAATCTCCCAGCCAAAATAGCATTATGTCCCGCACTCACAGCCGTAGCCTGAATAACAACTCCAATCATAAACACCGCACTGGCCACCAACACTGCGTATTTTCTCGACAAGACCTCAGCGATGAATCCAGACAGTAAAGTTCCGATCCAAGCGCCCAGTTCCAGAATAGCAGTTAACCATCCCTTTTTAGTTTGGTCCGTTGTGTATTCGCCCATGTCTTTTTTTCGTCTCAAGTCAGTACAATATACTCAGACATACATGGCTTGACAGTTGTTTAGGTGGAAAGACATACGTTTCTGAAAAGAAGGCATAGCCAAAACCCCTGAAAACATTCCTTGGTTGTATCCGTAGAGCACACCGCCGATACAAGCAAAAGCCGCGATGCGAAAGACTCGAAAGTTCTTTATGAGTGCCGAAGGGCCCGATTTGCCCATAAGGGCCTGGCGTTTGTGAAGGGCGGCATCGTAGAAGCCGCCTCCTGTGGAGGTGGTTGCTCCTCCTCCCATGATGGCCAATCCAATTGTTTTGTCACGGTGAGTTTAGAGACAAAAAGAAAAGAATAAGAGGCGTGAGAAGAGGAAGAGGGGAAAGGGATTTCGAACTAGAAGTGGGGATAACGGGACGCTTTATTATCCTCTTTCTCTCTCCCTTTCTACGGTAATATAATATTTTACCGCCCACTCGGATTGCCACCTACCTTGACCGCATGAAGTGGATGAATGGGACCAGGGGGAAAGATAGATGATGCTACCCTTCCACCACCACCACCCAATATCCCGGTAACTTGACCCGTGTCTTGCTCAATATGATTCGTGCGGGAATCTTACC